ATATTAATTTTATATATAAAATTTATAGTTGCATAATTTCGGTGCCCGGTGTGGATCGCGTGAAACTAGAGTTTAAAAGTGAGTCGCTCTTGGCTCTCGCGATGTGTGCAATAAATTTTAGAAATGCCTTATTACGTGATTATGAAGTGGTGTCACCAACTAAACGAGTTGATGACTGTTAAGACAACGCGCTAAGCCCGAGCCGCATGCGTGTTATTTTAAAGTCCCCTACCCCCACCCAGCTCTGTGGGGGAATATGGCGCAGGGCATTTGTGGATCAATCTCGCGACCCCTCCGATAGATGCTTAACTTTAAGGGAACGGACTCAACAAGTTAAATCCGCTAATGCCACCGCTAGTAAATAGTAGTATCACAACGGGACGGGGTTTGACGCGAGGTCAATAATGGCGATGGGCTGGTCTCCACCCATCAAATTGATATTGTTGATGAAGATGCCCCGAACGTCTACATCTACGTCTTACGAAGTAAAAAGGCCATGCAACTCTTCCAGTAGCAAATTCTTGATGGGACCTAGAGAGAAAGAACATGGCATAGACAAGCGTTTCATCCAGAGTTCCATATCACTTGGAGCAGTGTACGCGGGAGTAAGATTCCTTACCTTCGGGACTTAGGACGTGCATAATGAGTAGTTCGAATGGAGTCTATTCGAGTACTTGGAGGCAATCTAGCAACATGTTGCAACCCTTCTCAGGGAGATCTGCAAACCAAACTACATTAGTCACAGCTTATCTGTTAGAGCTTCAAATTGAGTGATCGTCTCCTCGAGCGCCTTTCTTTGGGTCTCCAAGTCCTTCAATCTACTCTCCTCAGCCTGCTGCACCTCCTTCGACACCTTTTCCTTGTAGCTCTCGTCACTCAAGATCTTCAGCTGTTTCTCGATACCGAGTTTTGTCTTGTCAAGCTTTTTGGTTGCCCTTGTGATCTCATGGTCGATGTCTACGCGGCCTTTGACGTGCACGAAGACAGCTGCATCAGTGGATATCGAAAATGCTACGCAGCCCGAGGGTCGGGGATCAGTAGCTGTCAGGATTGACATAGAAGCAATGCCTTTGCCGGAGAGTGAGCGGATGGATTGGATCTGGGCTCCGACTATTTCGTGTGCCGTTGGCGTATACGTTTGAACGAATACTATTGGTTATCAAAGTCAATAAACAGTATCATGAGGGCTGGGAGTAAAACTGACCTTTGCCCTCCCCTTTGAGGGAGTACTCAGACAGCAATGAGCGGATTCCCCTCGAAATATCCATCACGAGTTCATAAGCTACTTCCGCGGCGGGATCATCCATGTTGGCATCGTAACTTGGGTAAAGAGCCAACACGATCGATGGTGTCTTGTCATCCGGGCGGCGGGGAAGGCGTTGCCATAATTCTTCAGTCAGAAAGGGCATGAATGGGTGAATGAGAGTCAACCCGCTCTCAAGAGAAGTATACAACGTGTCCCGAGCCGATCGTTTCTCTTCCGGTGTACCGTCTTGCAGGATAGCCTTCGAATTCTCGATATAGACATCACAAAGCTGGTTATACCAGTATTGATAGATGATGGTTGTCGACTTCATAAACTCGCGATCGGTGATGGCTTGGTTGAGATCGCGAGCGGCAATTGTCAGCTTCTTGAGAATCCATCGTTCCGCGAGAGACTCTTTGCCTGTGAGCTTGCCGGAACTTCGTGGAACAAAATCGTCGCCAATATGGCCCAGCACATATTTCGTAGCTTGGTAAATCTTGTTGCAAAACTTTCGATAGCTATGAATAACCTTGATATCAAACGCAACGTCGCTAGCACCAGTATATGAGACTAATGCAAAGCGCAATGCATCAGTACCACATTCGGGAATTCCATCTGGGAAAGCAGTCTTCTGGTACTTCGTGGCCTTCTCAACCTCTAAGGGGTTGAGATTGCCAAGCAGTAGCTTCTTGTGTAGATCTTCTAGTGCAATGCCCTCGATGACATCTTGGGGATCAATGACATTACCCAGTGATTTAGACATCTTCCGACCCTCAGAATCCCGGATTAGTGAGTGGCAGAAGACTTCGGTAAAGGGAACTTTGCCAGTTAGCTTAATGCTGAACATAATCATCCGAGCAATCCAAAAGAATAGAATATCCCATCCTGTCTCCAAAACAGACGTGGGGAAGAGCGTCTCGAAATCGTGGGTATTCTTCGGCCAACCAAGAGTAGCAAAAGGCCATAAGCCAGCTGAAAACCAGGTATCCAGGACATCTTCATCTCTCTTGAGAGTAAAGGTTTTTCCGGGCAACGCCTTCTTAGCTTTCCATCTCAGCTTCCTCTTGAGTGCGGCCAGAGAACCAGAGGTGATCACTAGCCTCATCGTGCTCTTCGCCGTCGATCTGCGCGAAATATACCGGCGCCTGATGGCCCCACCACAGCTGTCTCGACAAACACCAATCGTTAATATTCTCCATCCATCGAATGTAACTCTTCTCTGCAGTCTCCGGGAGGATCTTGATTTCGCCGGTCTTAACAGCATTCAACGCATCTGCCGCCATATCCTTCATCTTCATCCACCACTGAGGCTTCAAGAGGGGCTCAATAACATCTTTAGACTTCTCACAAAGTGGAACGGTCATGGGATTATCCTTCTTGTCAACATACAGACCAGCCTTCTTGAGATCGTCTTGGATGGTGTACCTGACATCAAAGCGCTTCTGTCCCGCATATGGGCCTGCGTTCTCGTTCATCCGACCATCGTCAGTCAAGATATTGATGAATTCAAGATTTTGTCGTGAGCCGAGCGCAAAGTCGTTGGCGTCGTGGGCAGGAGTGATTTTGACTGCACCAGTACCAAAGTCCTTTTCGACATAGTCGTCAGCGACAATTGGCATTAGTCGACCTAGAATAAAAGGATGATGGCGATCTTGCCTATGAGATGCTGATAGCGTTTATCATCAGGATGAACTGCAATACCAGTATCTCCAAGCATGATTTCCGGACGTGTTGTTGCAACCTCGATCGTCTCATCCGTGCCTTGGATCTCGTATCTAAAGTGGACAATGATACCAAACTCGACCTTCTTATCGTAACCAGGGACATCGATCAGAGTACGACCAGACAACTCTTTATTGACGACTTCGAGATTCGACACGGCAGTGTTGAGCTTGGTACACCAGTTTACCAGCCGGTTCGCTCTGTAAATAATACCCTCTTCATGCAATTTGACGAAAGTCTCCAGAACCGCAGCGGTGCAGTTTTCATCCATGGTAAAAGCTTCGCGAGTCCAGTCAAACGAACCTCCCATTCTCCGCAAGACTCGATTGATGTTTTGATGGTACTCGGTCTTCCAATCCCAAACAACCTCAGTAAACTTTGCCCGACCCAAGTCATGACGTGTCTTCTTCTGCCGGCGCCAAAGCATGTTTTCGACAACTGATTGTGTAGAGATGCTTGCGTGATCGCATCCTGGGAGCCATAGGGTCGTCTTGCCACACATTCGATTATACCGGATCATTACGTCTTGCAACGCATTGCCGAGTGCATGGCCCATATGCAAGTTACCAGTAACATTGGGAGGTGGCTCTACGATGACAAAAGATCCCTCATCTTTGACCTTGCCATCTGCAGTGAATTCCGGCTTGAAGAATCCCTCCTTTTCCCACCACGCGTACCAAGCGGATTCAACGGCGAGCGGATTATAGGCTTTGTAATAAGGGTCATCGAAGGATTTGATGACTGAACATACGGTTAGTGAAACTGAAGGACCATTGGCGATTGAGGTGTAGATTCCACATACTCTTCTTACTTCCGGCCGGAGTCGCTTCGACGTATGGCTGCAGAGCGTTCTTCTCCGCCTTGCTCTCCGTGTTCGCCTTCTTCTCCTTGGTCGCGCTCAGCGTAAGGACCGGAGCCTTAGCTTTGGCTTTGGCCTTCTTCTGGTCGACTTGGCTTGTTTCTCTGCCTTCTTTCGTTCTCTCTCCACTATGCGTCACCAATTAGCATCCACAGCTGAATGCCTCGACCCCGCAATCGTGTGCACCTACACTCTTTCTCGCTCTTGGCTCCCTTCTCCGTCTGCGCACCTTCAGCCTTGCCGTGTAGAGTATGTTGTCCTACGTCTTGGGTAGGAGTCGGCTTGCTGCTGCCCACGACGAGAGTAGTTTTGGTTTTATCCGCGACTGGAGGCATCTCTGCAGGAACTGGACCAATCTTGTCGTCAACTGCACGAGCGGTCATTAGTACATAGGCATCCCTCAGATGAAGCCCGCTGTAACTCACCTTGGGTCGCCATTCTCGTAAATTGTCGGGTCGGTTTGCTCGCCCGGAGTGTTCTGACTTGTAATCGAAAGGCTGTGCTAGCGCGTGTGCTGAGAGGTTGAAGCACCGAATTCCAGATCATGAAGTCGCATCGGCGCCCATGGTATCATTCAGTTGCAGTTCGCGGCCGTAGTGGTGATAACTCCTCCTTGACTCTTCGAGGAGACACGAACACAAATTCGTTCGCTTGATTTGTTAGCGTCGCGCTAGCCCAGACGGCACCAATAGAATCATTGTTACTTTCGATGACTATTTCAGACCCGACTGTATATTGTCGTTTGGAAGGGACAGGGCTTGTAGTGTGGTCTGCGACCCTCCAGAACTCCCAGAACCGCTTTCACGGCAGTTTTCACGAAGGCAGTGCCAGTTCTTTTTGGAGAAGAACACCCTTATGCTGCGAGATGATTCTTCTGGCAGTACAACGAGCATACATCCTCGGCAGATCGATTCTAATCTATGGGAATTCCCTAGCAAATCCACCGGCACTCCCAGACAACGAGCAGTTCTTGAAAGAGGGGATTGGGACCTCGCTATGGGACCTGCTGAATTTCTCCTTCAATTCTCAGACAGAGGTAAACTTGATTCCGTCATGATCTTTCCGGCGCTGATCGTATTAGATGGGTGGTGGAACCGGTATGCCAAGGAGAAGAAAGTGTTGGCCACCAGGAAATTACCTGCCGATTGCATGCTGACCCTTCCCACCATGAGTCTTCCGCCAACTCGTTACCAAACTCGGGTTCAAACACCTCGGATACCTGAACATAAGATCCGTGATTCAGTAACGTACCATGAGCTTGAGTACTTAGGGAAAGGAAGCTTCGGGCGCGTGAGCCGAGTCCTTGATCTTCAGTGGGGTGGCATAATGGCTGTCAAGATCATTAATGTCGAACGAGAGAAAGAAAAGGAGACGAAGGAAACCCTCAAACGCGAAGTTGAACTATTGGCCAAGCTGTCACACGTGAGTTTACCGAACTATTTGTTATACTTGGCGCATTGGCTCATTATCAGATTCAGCCGCACATTATTGAATACAAGCATTCACAGGGCTGGGAGTTTGGAGAGCCAGTCGAAATATTCATGTCTGCTGCTGATGGATCACTATGCGGCTTTCTGGACGACAAGAGGAGTCAGCATACGAAAATAACGAATGAACAGATCACTCATGTCTCTCGGCACATCATCAGTGGTCTGCACTACCTGCATGGAAAGAAAATCCTCCATCGAGATATCAAGCCAGAAAATATCCTTTTCAAGGATATCTTCACAAATCCCATCTTCAGTCTGGCCGACTTTGGCCTCTCCAAAGAGATAGATACGAAGGCCACGTTCGTTGGATCTCCACTCTACTGGGCACCTGAGGTATGTTCTGGCGCCCCGCAAGACTTCCGAGTCGACATCTGGTCGCTGGGTGTTGTTATATATGAAATGTTAACTGGTTTGGCCCTGGACCAATTGCCTGACCTGACGAACCGTGTTTGCATATCCGGAGAGTGGTGCAAGAGACTTGACTATGCATGCCGCGGGGGAGGCGATTTGGCCAAAATGGTGACTCTCAATGTTGAGGAGCGGATAACTATCGACAGGTGCTACGAATCTAGTACCTTCCCTGTCTTGCCAGATGCATTGCCGCCACCCGTCACCCAAATTCCCAACCAAGCTCCTCCGGCCCTCACATCGCGAACCACACTAAAACAGCAACCGAGGGGGCCAAAAAATAGGAATATACTTGCAGGTGCCGCTCAGCACCGCGTCGAGAAAGCTCAAGGTCCTCTTCAGGCGCAACCCTTTCGCCGCTTACAAGAGATCCGCCCAAGACAAGCTCAGACTTGAATTTTCCGGGTGCGGGAACAGTGAAGTTTTGAGAAGCGCCAAGACTATTTTGTTCTCCCAGACGCTTCGACCATCCTTGCCTATACCCAGTCATCGTTTTCAAAATTCTCAGGGATTACATGAAGGAGCTAAAACCACTGGGATGGCGCAATCTTTACCGGTACATTCCGAGACTATAATATAATGTACGATGGGATGATAAATGTATTTAGGAGAGGGATAGGCCGTTTGAGGAAGGAGGAACAGGCAATTGCATTGCCGCGGCGTTTATTTTTGTGTTTACAAAGGGAATCGGGAAATTGTATGAGACAATGATACTAGAACGCTAATGATTGCCCCTTTGTCTGCTTCCGATGTCAACTTCTCCATTTTCGTTTGTGATGTTTCACCTATGCATCTGATCCCTTATCCTCCTCCCTTTGAACGCCGCTTCCTTTGACCATACTTACTCCCGCGTGTGCAGGCTGTGGATCCTCGTCATCGCCGTCGCTTGTGGTATAACTGCAATCGCTGCCTTCGGGGGAGTAGTTGTCGTTGCTGATCTCTCTATTGGGCCGCCAGCAGCCTGCGTGCTACTGTCGCCGCCACCACCATCAACTGATACAGGACAACACCTCTCAATCCACGCTATCTAGGGATGGTCTCGGACCAGATTTGCTTGTGTTTTGGTTGAATGCCGTCCAGCTCCTTTGCCAAGTCCAAGTCAATTAGTCTTCCTTTCGGGGCATCTTCGGCAAGGAGTTCGGTGATAATAATATTATTTTCAAAAACATCCCGATAAAGAATCTTTCCATCCTCGAGCAATAACCTATAACCTTGAATAGCATCGCGTAGCGCCTCCAAAAGCTTTCTAGCCGATTGATATTCGTGGAGAAGTCGTCTAGCTGGTGAAGTTACCAAGCAGTAGTTCACTTGGTTGCCGTACGTCTCACTTTCGCAGTCTGTCAGATTGTCGGCTTTGGCTTCTTGAATACTGTCGACATTATTCCGCTGCCACTTATTCCGGCAATCTACCAGACTATCGACCACTATTTCTTGAATACTAGAAGCGCCGATTGCGTCTAGCTAGTCTTCTTTGCGCACATTTGTCGCGCTGGCATAACTACCGTCGGATTTCAAGTCTTTTATTTATTTTTCTTTTCTGCCTAGAAAAAAAAGTTGTGGCGCTACTTGCACCGATTCCTAGGCCAATCAAGTGAGCCACACTGCTCCCTAACCTTCCCTTAAGGTTTATTTTCAAATATACCCAGCTAAATTCTAGACTACTATTGACCTAAAAAGCTTTTTTCGACGGCCTCTGTGGCGACCCAAATTTCATAGCTCGTCGCAAATGTGAAATAGTGTCCAAGTCGCCGTCGATAGTAATTTGCTTATGATTAAACTACATAGCAATACTCGTGACTTTATTCTTTTTTGCTAACTTTAATAGTTTTCCTTTCTATTGCTTTTTGTTAGACGGCCAAGCGAACTTCACAACGTACTCCTAGTTCGTTGAGCTAAGTCTTTTTCTTCGATAACACGTTATTTCCCGGCACACTATCGCTTTTGTCGAGGCGATTGGCTTGTTTTCTAAAGAGATCCTTATATTTCGTCTGATAATGTATTTGTTGTTACTATCACGCTTGATAAACGTATTTAAACTTAATTTTACATCGAACATTATCGCATAGCTGGCAAGGACCTTGACAAATCGCTCCGGCTCTTTGTGAATATCGAACTTCTCGGAGTTGTACGGTTCAGATTTGTCTTCCAAACACTTCGCGTCCATACCCTGCCAACTGCACCAGTGTTTGATTGATTGATTGGAGTCAGTCACTCTGTCTATGTATCTATCTGTGGCAACTGGACTTTCACGCTATCTGTGTCAACTGGACTCTCCTGGCAGTCAGTCTGTCTGCGCAAAAGCAAGCAAGCTAACAGCAAACTCGAGTTGGGTCGCTCTTGCGGCTTCTTCCTCTGCCATCTGAACCGAATTGGCGTGCTTATTGAGGCGCTGCTCGTAATTCTCAATCGTCAACACCTAGGCAGCGATAGCTGCCCTGGCTTCATTAACCTGTGATAGACCCACTGCAAAGCAAGCCATCCCTCCTCTAAAACACGCGAATAATAGATTTTCGAGATACTTTCGATCAAGTTTTTTATCGACAGGTCACTTGGGTGCTGGGAATGTTGTTGAATGTTCACTCATTGTGCAGTCATCATAGACTATTATTGTGGAGCATATGTTGAGGAATGTATGAATCATCACTCTTAGTTAGTGTAGTACTAGTTTAAGGGTATGATCTAATGCATGATGCAACGACTTATTGACTGATGACACCTGTCATCAGCTAGTGGGTTCGAGCATTATATATAGCATGAGGTCAACCCTGTAGTTTCAAGAAATCAAGTCAGTTATCACACGCGAATGCAACAAATGTGGCAAGAGTACTCGAAAGGGGTAACGGAGTTGAGGAATTGTACAAGACATTTTCCTTCGATCGTCGACCACTAATCCCGTGTTTGAAAAGTGAATGACTCGGGAAAGGCTTTTTTTTTTTATATATACGAAACGAGACTCAAAAATGATTATTATTAAAATATTAACTAGCAAATTTGCCTTGTTTTAGGGGAAGCTGTGAAATACTGAATAGTTAAGCTTCCGCTATATATTTCGGCGGCTTAGAGGATTGAAATGTATCTCGTATTTAATATCTTTTTCTATTATTAAGTTTCGTATCCATAAACTCACGCTTATTAACCCTCGTATCAAGCGTCATCTATGTAACGAAATACATCTATATTATCCGACAATAATAGCATAATTATGGACGAGAATCAATACTTCTGCGCTTCTTAGCCCATGAACACACATTTTTCCTCAAGGCGCACCAGATGCTTAGCATTGTACATTCTCGCATTAAATAAAGCATTATTTACAAAATATTCAAGCATTAAATAGCCTCATCTTGTCGGCCCAACGAAT